AAAGAATAAACTCCTATCTTGGTAACAGGTGATGCTTTCCTGTTGCCCATGACTAAGTTTATCTTCCCATGCTCCACATGCTCACTTCTTCTTAGTGCCTGCAAATCAGTACAAATGTGAATACCACACCCTGTATCAAGCACCCAAGAATTAGCATTAGATGAGTTGTTAGACAATATTGTGTAAATACCTGCATGGGTGGGTTTAACCTTCCCATCCTTTACATCTTGCAGATATTTGGTGCAGCTTCGCTTGAAGTGTCCCTTATCTTGGCAATAGAAGCACTGTGCTTCCTTTGGGTTCGAAGAAGGAGTAATGGGACCTTTCTTTGTCCCACTTGAAGAGGAACCATCAAGAGTCTTACCCTTGGTACCCTTTGAAGGGCTTTTCCTCTTCTTACTCTTCCCTTGCCCAATTGCAAGAACAGGGGCTGTTAAAGGAGTAGAAGTAACAACCGCTTTACCCTTAAGGCCATTTTCAGCTGTCCTTAAGAGTCCTTGAAGTTTGCTAAGTGTGACTTCCTCCTTATTCATATGATAAGTCATACGAAACTGATCATAACTTGAAGGTAAGGAATGGAGAATGATGTCAATCGCCAATTCCTCAGGAAGTCAACATTGAGCTTTAGCAACCGGTCAACGAACCTCTGCATCTTCTGCAAGTGACCGGTGATGGGTTCACCATCCTTCATCCTTGCGGTTATCATGGAGGAAATGATTTCATACCTCTCTTGACGCGCGCTCTGATGGTACCTTTCCATCAGATCTAGGTGCATCTCGTAGGGGTAGAAATCTTCATAAGATTTTTGGAGTTCCGGAGTCATTGTGGCCATCATGATGCAGGACACCTTGGTGGCATCCTTCTCATGTGCAATGAACTCCGCAAGCTCTTCTGGAGTAGCAGTGGCTTCATTAACAACCTTAAGCTCCCTATCAAGGACATATTCTTTGTCCTCATAGCGGGTAATCATCCTGATGTTTCTGATCCACTCATTGAAGTTGGATCCATCAAAGATGACCTTACCACACAAGTTCATTAGGGAAAAGGAGCCTAGGGTTTGAGCCAGCAGCGTTATTGGAAGACATCTGGAATAGAAGGAAGATAAGTTTCATTAGATTAAAAGTCCTTAATAAGTCACCCAAATGAGATATTAAGGCTAGGATCCAACAAACTATTTATAGGTGGAAGAGGGATGCCGTAATCCACACTATAAAATATTTGAAGGTAGGTAAATGACGATTTACCAATTTCCACCATAAGAACGAAATATTTTATTATTAGGTTTTATTGGTTTTTGAAACTCCTAGATCTTTTGAGATACATTGAACTTTTCAATGGCATGTTTGAATCTCGAATGTGCCCTCTCAAGTTTGTGACTGGGATGCCGAGGATCACAAACAAGGTGTGAATAACCATACAAATTGACTTGGTACCCTTAACAATATTACCTAATCGATGTGCCGGTTAACCACACACGCTCCACCGATCTATAATAAAGTCAAGTTACCCTTTGCCACTCTTACTAGTCCATGTTAGTGTGCCGGTTAACCACGCACGCTCCACTAACGACTTGGTAAGGTACAAAGTGTAATTTTATGGGCTAGCACCAATTTCACATTTTCCTAAAGTAACTAAGATTGGGAATTTATAATGTATAGTTACTTTATAATTCATTATACTTTTAATGAGAATTTAAAGTCGTATCCTACCCGTTCGGCTAACGACCCTCCACCGATCAAGGAAGCGGTGGGTGAGAGTGGACACCCATTAAGTCACCATTTTATAGGCAACAACCTTATACCCCCTTATAGACCGGCTTCGTGAATGAGGCCTACTAACGGTAAGAACGACATATTCTTATACATATCTATATAATAAAATTATAATAATAGTATAAGGGTTGATTTTTAAACCTTTTAAAAATCTAAGGTATAATTTGGAATTAAAGTGTAAGACTTTTCAAATTCCAAATCTTGAGGGCAAGAATTGAAACTATTCCAAGTCTCTTCAATTTTGTAACTTATGAGTTTTATTGGTTCATAAAAATGAAGACTCTTCATTTTATGAAACCTCTTTAGTTCTTTAAACACAAATTAAAGAAGTGACCTTTGGTTATCCATAACTTGAGGACAAGTTATGGACACCATCAATACAATTAAGATCAAGAATTAAACACACATGGTGGTTACACATAATTCCTATGATCTTCTAAAACTCATAAGAACACAAATTCATGTCAAGCAATTTCAAGAAATCATATAAACATATATAATACTTTGAAATTGTTAAAAGTCATGTAAAATGGATTAACATAATCATTATCATTTTGAAAAACAGATTTACAAGTCCAAAACAGATTGGGATAATGATTCTAATCCATTTCCAGCAACAAAAACTCGAAAAATCTGCCCAGCTCGATCCTACTCGGCGAGTAGGATGAATTTGTTCATGGACTCGACGAGTCCTCCCCATGGACTCGGCGAGTACAGTCGTCAGAATGCAGAATTTTCGTTTTTCAAGCAGTTTTGCATCAAGTATACAGAAAACAATCCTAGGCTCTGATACCACTGATGGGTTTTGAGCATTCTAACACTTCCTAAGTGTACATGCAACCCTAATAACCTTGAATCTATGTTTTCTCTATATACATGCAAATTTTTTTCAAGGTTATTTCCTATCTAGCATGGCATGGGGATTGCATAAAACATAAAACTAGTAGAAATACATACCTTGTTGTTGCTTGGATTCCTTCAAGACTTTGTGAGCCTAGCACCCCAAATGTTGTGCCTCAAATGCTTCACACAACACCACAAAACTTGGAATAACTTGAGAGAATACTTGTAGCACTCAAAATCGGTTATGCCCTCACTAGTAACCTCTTAGGTCCGATTTTACTAGCCAAAGGGTTCCTTTTATAGTGGTGTCACAATTAGGGTTTCATTAAGAAGACCCATAATTATCATGACTCTTCATTTCTCATGATCCATGGGTTTGTAACTCCCATGGACTATCCATGGAGCTCCAAATGGTTACGTCCATAACCCATAAACCATGGATCATTAATCCACCATAAAAGAATTTATGATTGTCATAATCAACCCTTACATATTTAATTAGTTTCACTTTGATCACCAAATTAATACTAGATTAATACTTGATCAAATACTAATTAAATAATACTATTATTAATATATTAGAACTTATAATATATTAATAATCATAAGTGCCTTATTCTCTCATTTAGTCTATCCAAGTATTGCAATGCCATGCAACCCAAATAGACCATGCCGGGTCGGGTCAAGTTCATACCAAATAAAGTTATGGACTTAGACACTATATCCAACAGTTTGTAAGCCATTAGAGGAGTGACACTTGTGACTCTAAGCATTCCAAAGTCATTACAAGGAGATTTAGGATTGTTATTGCTACATAACAATCAAGGTATGATCTTAAACCTAATTACATATTAATATGATTACTTGAATGCTAGAATTAGGGTTTATAGTCTTGGATTCAAAGCATGTATAATAGAGAAACCTAGATCCAAGCATTAGGGTTTGTATGAGCACATAGGATGTCTTATGACCAAAACCCATCACATGGAACTTCCTCGTAATCACCGTGACAAAATCAGTACCCTGCTTGAGGGTCAAAAACTCTTGGGCCAAATGCTCCCTTTCCACCTGGGGAACGTACTCATCTCGAAACATAGCAGTGAAGCTCTCCCAGGTCACTGCAGCAAGCTCATCATCCGAATAATGCTCCATCACAAACTTCTACCAATCCTTTGCTCCCAAGTGAAGTTGGTTCAGCACGAACCGGACCCTCAAATGCTCAAGAGACGAGAAAGTAAAGAAACATCCCTCTATGTCTGATATCCACCTCATCGCTGCAATCAGGTCCTGGGTCCCATCAAACTCCGATGGTTTTGTGTTGCTGAACTCCCGAAACAACAACGCATCACCACCCTGCGGTTTAGCCACAACTACAGCTACAGTGGCCGCAGCAACAGCAGCCTTAGAAAGAGCAGCGTATCTCTCATCGAATGTCTCTATCAGGGTGGTCTTAATAGACCCGAACATCTCTGGAGTCTCGTCGCGGATGGCAGCAGCCACCTCATCATGAATCATCTAGCAGAGCTCGTCGTCGCTCACACCCCCTCCATTGGTCCCTGGTCTGTGACGTGTCCCTACCATGATGCCTCTCTGAAATACAACACAAGATGTCAGTAATTTGCTCGGATGTACACACACTCGATATCCCAACCCTACTTGATTTCTGGTACCCTATGGATTCTTACTTCGGTTGCGCACTGACCCGGTGCCTTCGATAGTACGGGCCTAATACTATCGACCACACCGACTCATCATTCACACCAAGTCCTCCTCCCAGAGCCCTAAATCCCAAGTACGCTATTCTCTCTAATCATGTGTTGCTCACTAGCGAATCTCTCATAAGCTCATTGCTGCTATCTCAACACTCTCAAGCATCCTTAGTAGCAAAACCCCTGGACTAAGGCATCATATATCAGGCCACTCTAGTCCTAATAAGAATACCCAGTCTTACTCTAGCATGCATAATATAATCCATCATATAGCATAGCATAACATTTCTTTTAATACTTATTGTAAGAGTATTTTGGGAAATCACCGTTTAGGCGCTAGCTGATCGTACACACGACTCTACTCTGTTTGTTTCAAAACACTTTTTACACCCTTTAAGAAAAGTTTACATTATTATCAAATTTTTCCTCAAATCCTTAGTCTGAGTTTAGATACGCCCGAAGATGCATCCAAATCCCTCAAACCAAGGCTTTGATACCAAATTATAACACCGTAAATTTTAAAACAATTTTTTTCATTTTTAAACACACTTTTTCAAACACATTTGTTGATAAAAACCCCATTGTATCATACTTTGTTTCACAAATATTTCCCAAGATCAAAATACATAAAAACCCATGCGTGTGTACGAATCATGCCGGTGCCTTCTCGCGATTGTCACTGGTACCTGAAACACATAACACATAACACTGTAAGAATAAAGCTTAGTGAATTCCCCAAAATACCATACATAACACATACTAGCCACTCGAAGCTATAACTCTGTGGGCCCGTGGGCCCTAACTCTATGGACCCTCAGGTCCTAACTTTGTGAACCTTTCGGTTCTAACTCTGATACACTCTAATATACACAAGATATAAAAAACATAGCAATAATGCAGTAAAACACATCACACAATAGCATACAATAACTATGTCACATAACTCTAATTACCACTCAAGGTAAAGTATAGTGAGAAGACTCACCTCAGATGTCCCGGTAAATTACTGACTCGGGAGAAATACGATCTAGCCTCCGCCTAAACACATAAAGTAATACTCTCATAAATATAACTCTCAAAACTAGACTCAACCCTCTCTAGGCACCCTCAGAAGGGTAAAAGACCATTTTACCCCTCCTTTGGCTTAAACGCCCTCATTGTTGACCAAAGCCTAAAAGTCAACCAAAGACACCGGTCAAACTTTGACCCGATCCGTCGAGTGCACTTGGGCAACTCGGCGAGTCCACATGTGTCCACTAACTCTTTAGTCCCGTTTAATGCTTTGCGTCCCTCCCTTTACTCGACGAGTCCCCAGGTATGAATTGTGGGGCCACCCCGACTCAACTCAGCGAGTCTAAAGAACAACTCGGTGAGTACATGCCATGCACAAACTCCATTGACCTCCTGAGGTCAGAGCTGTTCCTCTAATCCATAGATCTGGCCTTCACAAGCATAATAATCACGTAAAGTCTAGACATTGACTCTCATATATCATCTAGATGGTCTCATTTGGTGATTTAGCCCTAAAAATGACATTCTAAGCTCATGAATCCCAAGATAACTCATAAAGCTCCAAGGGTTAAGGTCTCTAGACCTCTTTAAGTCCAGATCCAAAGCATAAACTCGAGAAGGGACCAATTGCTCCACATAACCATCCTCAAAAGAGGTTAAAAAACCCTAACTCTAAGAATTAATACCAAAACTGAAGAAGGTCTGAATAAATACCTCAAGTTGAAGTCTCTGGACTCTGAAACCACTAGAATCACACCTTCTTTAGTCTCCTCTTGCTCTTGATCACCTTTTTCTTGCTAAACCAAAGATAGAAAGATCAAATATACCTTCTCCTTCCTCCCAAACGATTTAGCTCACTTAGGGTTCTCTCAAGGGACTGGTAGCCGCAATTGGGGACTATGAGTGCCCTTAAATAGGCTTCAACCCCGGGGGATTACGGTTTCGTTAAACAGTGTGGACTCACCGTGTCCAGTCGGGAACCCATATGATAATCCTCGACCCTACTCGGCGAGTCTAAGCATCAACTCGCCGATTTTCTTAACAAATTCCAAAAATAAAAATATTAGAATAATATACCTGGGAATCTGGATGTTACACTCCAATTGCTTAACACACTTTCTAAAAAATCTCATATTAAGCTCCTCAAATTTCGCACGACTAAATGCCATTGAAAAGTCAATACCCTTATGCAACAATTCTAATTCAAGTGAAACTTGAGTAGCATATGACAGAACCCTCTTTGCTTTCTCACATTCGATTTTCAACCTTCCCAAGGCCCTCTTTTTTCCTGTTAAATCCATTTCGTATTTCCTCTTAAATTCCTCAACACAATAATCCACCATACGGTTATCAAAATCTTCACCTCCAAGATGTGTGTCACCAGCAACAGCCTTGACCTCAAACTTACCTAATTCAGAGCATCTCCAACCAACTCTCATTCTCCATAATTTCCTCCATTTCTTCTCCCATTCCTCTCCAACCCTACCCCATTTCTCCCAAAATGGGGATGAACTTTGAGTTTTCAGTTTTAGTCCCTCGTTTTATATGTTTATATATTTCTATTTTTTTTTTGCCTACTAATTATTATTTAAATTTAATATTTAATACTTATAATATTGTGTTATATATTAAATTATATTAATTAATTATAAATATAAATTTTCTTTTTGTTTATCAAATTCATATTAAAATTTAAATACGTAATGAAATTTTTAAAACACAATTATGTATTTTACAAATGCTTATAATTACGTATTATAAATATAATATTATTGTCGTGAAAAAAATATAGACTATGTATTTGTTAAAATGAAATTAATAGAAGGGGTGTATTTGATAATTTATATAAGTTAAAAGAATGGAATATACCTTTTGGGGTAAAAATGGAGTAAAAATGGAGTAGGGTTAGAGATGAAACATTATTTATCCTATTTTTTACTCCATTTTTAGTGGAAAAAATGAAAGTGGCTTGGAGATGATCTCATCAATGGTGAGAATACAAACATCAAAAGTGCCACCACCGAGATCAAATACAACCACATTCCTCTTCCTAGTAAGCCCCAACATATTGTCTATACCATACGCAATTGCAGGTGCTGTTGGCTCATTGATCATGCGAAGGACATTCAAGCCATCAATCAAAGCAGCATCCTTGGTTACTTTATGCTGAGAATCATTGAAATAAGCTGGGACTGTGATGACAACATTTTTAACAGTCTGACCTACATACGCCTCTGCAACTTCTTTCATCTTCTTAATAATCATTGATGAAATTTCTTTCATCTTCTTAATAATCATTAATAATCGTTGGGCCCTTGTATGACCCTATATGTAACAAACCGTTATTTCAAACCTATGTAAAAGTATAGGTCAATTTGTACTTCTTTGTAAATTAATAAAGAGAAATTTTAGCATACTATATGTATTTACATAATTGACCTTCAAAAATAAATTATTAAATAATCTCAATTGGGATAAACCAAGTGATAGAAATTGTAACAAGGTTTCCAAAAATATAAAGAACACTAAAATCCGAGTTATAACAAAGAAGTTATAACCAATCGAAAATTCGCGACAAAACCGGCAAAACACTGTTCAGTGTAAAAACTGAAATTCTGGTAAAAGACTTTCTATCCTTAACAATCTAAATGAAAGTTATAGTTTATGTTAAATCAAGAACTTTCATAAAAAGAAAGCCAAAATCTGACTTCGTATGAGGAAGTTGTAATTTTTCGAAGTTTCAGTATAGCAGTGTACAGCTAAAAACTCGAAATAAAGATCGAGTGGTTTTTAGCCGACACATCTAAACGAGAATTAAAGGTCTCGTCATTAGTAGTACAACGGTAAAAAGACAGACAAAAACGGACGTCGTATGAAGAAGTTATGAATTTATAACGGATTCACGTCCCGGTCTGTTTAAAATAATAATATTAAAAATAAAGTCAAAATTAGCCGACGAAGTCTAAACGAAAGTCGTAGAGTATAATTTTACCTAAGCGTGCATATAAAGAACGTCAAAAACGGAGTTCGTATGCCAAAGTTATGAATTTTACAAGTTTTGGCCAAAAAAAATATAGAAACTAACAAAAATCGGGAATTTTCGCATGAACAGTAATGCCACGTCACCCTCGCATGCGATCCTCCACGTGGCGTCTTCTGATTGGGCCGCAGCTTCGGGTGTCACCTCCTGATTCGACCAAATCCGAGGTCCAGTAAGAACCGGGCAGCATCGCATGAGACACACCGGACCTCACCCTCGCACGCCCCTCGCACCCTGCTGTTCGCACGTGTTGCCTTTCTATTGGACCGAAGTTCGGTCCAATCCGAGCCAGCCAGCAACGAACCTCCGAACCGAAGCAACCCCCTCCCTTCGCCACCTGTCCGACACGAGGCAGCCTCGCATGGCCTCGGATCCGAGGCTTCGGCCTATATAAGGCATGCGAGGGCTCCAAAGAATTTTCACTTTTTCACCCCAAATTTCACCCTCTTTCACATTCTCCACTCTCCTAAGCTCATATACAACCCCTAAAGCCCCGGTATCAAGACTCGAACCCGAAGTAAGCCTTGAAGCCCCGAAATTCTTGAGAATTCATTCTCTCTCCTGTTAAAACTCTGTCCATATTACCATCTATCATGTGAGTTCATACCCCTATATCTTCATAATTTCTATTGTTTTAATGGGGGGGGGGGGGGGGAATACAAGTATAACACAAAAACTTTGTGTTATAAATAAATGATTTTAGATCACGATAAAACGATTTTAAAACATCAAAAATACTCCAAATATTGAACTCTTTTATAAACTTATATTTTTCCCAAATATACATATTTGGATATATAAAATTGTTTATGTATATAAATATATAAGTTATCTCATCAGTTTAAATACCCTTTGTAATATGCTGAGCAAAGGATTACATGCAAAAATAGTTATTTAACAATTCATAAAGTACATATAAATTATAATAGGTATAATTTATAATACATAGAGCAATACTTCATGATTTAAGTATACATGAATACACTGTTTTACATGAAACAAGGGTTTTAATTCAAAACAAATCAAGGGTTTACACTTGTCAAATACATGTTCGGAATACTAATTCAAGAACATATTATCAATCATTTATTTCAGAATGATTGGGTTTTCATAACTAATATACATGTAACGTTTATATGCTTTTTATGAGATATCCAATTCAGGTTGTTTAATTCATTTTAGACAACCAAGGTAAAGCCCTGACATTATAACCAGAATCTCCAGTCCGGGGATCGAAACAAGTTGTGTGGATCTATATCGGGATTGACAACCCCGCACTCAGGCTGCTAGCTACAGTCAGGCATACTTGCCAATGAGTGGCAATTGTTATCAACAGTTTAAGCGCTCATAAGGCATTTGTTTCAGGCGTTCAGGTCTTAGTATGGTTATAATAATTCATTAAAAAGATATTAACAACACGTTAGTGTATAAACAACTAAACGTAAGTACATCTTCAATGTACTAATTTACAAAATACAATGTACAATGGTATACTACAGATTTCAATAACAGCTGGCGAAGCCAGGCACACACTCAGTTAAAAGTTTTACAAATACATTGGTTCACAAATAGGACGGTTTTATGGGAATAAAACTACTCTTCACATACCACAGAAAATATGGGGTTTTCTAGAACAATTTTCTTATTTAAAATACAAAGACACCCATGCAAACATAAAGACTTATGTACTCACTCAACTTATTGTTGATACTCTCTTTTCAAATTACTTGTATTCTCAGGGAAATAATAACAGGTACTCTCCGAACTTTTTGAGAAGATGGAGTCATTATGAGTCTTATCTTCTTCTTTTGTATAACTATTTTGGTTTCAATATACAATGATTGAACACATGTAAATATTATACTTTTAAATACAATGGTTGTTTGTACTTTGATTACTATGATGCATGTGTTGTGATACTACAAATGAAGTCCTACACCCCCGGACGTTTCTGCCGTCTGGTTTGGGGGTGTGACACTATATGGCAACACCTTTATGTCATCCTGCACCATGGCTTCACTGAATCTCCTGTCGATCAGCCTCTTGACATCTGAAATTCCATAACAAGATGAGCCAAGCAATATAAAAAAAATGCTAAAACCATAAAATATCAAAACATAAAAAGTGTAAACTGACTGAATAAAGTATTAGCAGGGTTCTTTGCAATTTGATTCTTGGCACCATCTCCAACGAGCTGTTCAGTATTAGTGAAAGCAACACAAGATGGTGTTGTTCGATTTCCTTGATCATTTGTTATGATCTCTATTCGATCATGTTTCCATATAGCAACACATGAGTATGTGGTGCCCAAGTCGATACCAATTGCTAGTGCTCCACCTCCCTCATTTGCCATTGCTTTACAGGTTCAAACAGAAATAAGCAATGTCAATATGAATCTTTGATGTAGGCTTACCTTTTCCTTGTTGTATAGTAAATACTTTGTGTAGAATCTTGGTATGCAGCTGCATTATACAACAATAAAGTACTAAAGTCTATCATTTTTTTTACTCCAGCGTACATGCACATTCTATTTGGCCATTACACTTTCATCAATCACAAATTTTGGAATCTTTTTTGCTCGTTAGAATATTTGATGTTAATTATTTATTTTTCATAGCTAATATCACTACCACAAAGCCGCAAATAGAATACTCTTAATAGAATGCGGTTGTATAAGAATTCATATCATATTAGAGATAGAGTACTATTCACAAAAACAATTCGTACAAAATAAAATAGAATATTGTTTTCATAACCAACAGTACTTTATTTATATATATAATAGTATGTATGTGTATTTTAAAACAAAAAACCACCATTGAAAAACAAGAAAATACTACATTCTTCCTCGCAACTTGTGATGTATCCACTGCGCTAAAAATTGGTCTTTGTTAGTTTTTTCAATGAAAATTGATAAAGAGATGACTGAAGAAAAAACAAAACCATATTTTCACCAATATACCTATTCTGCTCTCTTGGTTTCTAACGCATCCCTAAAAAAACAACCATATTTTCAGGTTGTTGTTTGATCCAAAAACCTAAACATCTTTATTTTATTTTTTTTGTTTCCTCAATAAAAAAAAGTAACAATCTTTATGAATACAAAACATTCAAAGTTAACACAAAAGTTAAAATCAAATTTAATACAAACCAGTCAATGTATTATGAAAATGAAATCATGTAATAAAGATGGACAATAGCCTTTACCACCCACTGCAAGATGGATCAATTAATGATGTAGCAACTTGTAATTGTGCCTCTAAATCCTCCAAGATCTTCCCTAACATTAGATGCATGAATTAATTAGTAAAAATGATGGAAAATTAAAAGGCCTAGAATGAAATTAAAGGACAAAATCATGACCAACATACCCCTACACTACTTATTCCTTTTCAAGACCATTCAAGATGGTCAAAAGATGAAACAAAACATACCCCTGCACTCCTGCACTACTAAATTGCACCATATGTGTTTCCAAACTGGTACCAAGGACAAAATGGTTAAAATACGAAACAAGTTGTACAAAAAAGCAACAGGGCATGAGGGAAGAGCAAGGTATTGCACCAGATTCAACAGTCAACATTAAATACTCCATAAACACTAACAAATTCCATGTACAGAATACATATTCGAACTAATCACAAACAGGTGATACAAAAAATTGTCTACATCATATAACCAGATCACAAAACAGTTTCAAATCAGATTCAATGTCGCTTTCAAATTTATTTTGCAAGAAACAGATTCCATGTATAGATAACAGATCCGAACATTATAAGTTATCTGATTTTGAATAGCATTTACAAGAAAAAAAGCTTAAAGTTATCTGATTTCGGAGTTCGTAGTCGCTACCCTGCTGCGTTGAAGTGGAAGTCGATGTTCACGATATCACTGGTGAAGTGGAAGTCGATGAGTATACACGATGGAGAAGAAGGCGCCAATAAAAGAAGGAGAATGGCAAGGAAGGAAAAGATGATGCTTGGTCTCGGTCAGGAGGTTTTGAGATGAGGACCAAATCCTCAGATGTCTTTGGACCGAGTCTGTCGATAAATCAAATACAACAGCTTCTGATTGAGGACCGAGTCCTCATTTCTGACTGGGTTAGCATCATACAAATTATATTTGAAAATTCTAAACTAAAAAATCATATCGTTGGGATTCCTTAGAGGATAAATGAAATTAGACAGACACAGCATAAAAGAAAAGTCATAAACTATAAAACACTAACAGTTGGACGTTTCCGGTCACCACCAAGAGGTCGGCAGTCACTCGCTCAACGAAACCATCTTCCGACGCTAGTCAGAACTCTCTTAAGGTATCTCCCTCTCGAATCGATGTATGTATATATGCTGTCTACCTCTCACCTCTTTACTCTCTTTTGCGTTAATTCTTCTCCGTTTAATTGTGCAATGAACAATCGGTTCCTTTTGTAGATGAAGAGTTTATTACTATTTTTATATAAGAAAAAACAATCGGTTCCTTTTGTAGATGAAAAGAGGTTATTATTATTTTTATATAAGAAAAGTTCTTAAATGCTAGCTGTCAAAAGATCTTAATTGTGTAATGAAAAGTTGTTAATGGTTATTTGATTTACTCCTCTGTTTGCCGCCTGATTGTACCCTCCTAAGATATCATATAATCCTTTGTTATATTTTATTTTATTACTTTATATATTCAAATATTAATATATATGGAAACACAATCACGACATAACTATTTATATTTATTCGATCCTTTTTTTTTAATTGATATATCTAAAATATAATTTTATTAATTAAATAATATAATTTTGATTTTATTCTTATTATTATATTACAAGTACAACTAATTATTAAACAATCCTTTAAATATAATTTTTTAAATTAAAATCATCAAATAAGTTTAATATAAATAAAAAATAAGTAAAAAAATTAAAATCCTACTAACCAACACCACTCACCACCCACCACCACCACCAACCATCACCATCACCACCACCACCCACAAAAACCACCACCATCATCAACCCCTACTACCGTCAACCGCAACCATGATCCACCACTCATCACAACCGATACCACCACCCGCCACCACCACCCACCACAACCACTACCCACCCACCTTCATCGCCCATCGCCACTACTAGACTCATCACCCACCAAAACTACCATACACCATACCACCACTTACTACCCACCACTAACCTACACCACTCACCACCTATCACTACTACCCGCCACCACCACCCCACCCATCACACATTAAAACAACCACTACCCACCACCATTACCAACACCCTCCACTACCACCAACCACCACCCACCATCCATCACCACCACACGTCTCCACCACTCATCACCATAACTCTCCTACACGACCACCTATCACAATCACCCACCTCCATTATCCACAACCACTACCCCCACCACTATTACCACCACCACCACCCATCATTACCACCACCAACAAGATAACCACCACCTACCACTTCCATTACCACCAACCATCACCACCATCACCACCACCCATCACCCATTGATATCACCACCCATCACCCATTGAAACCACTACCACCACCACATGCAACCAGCACCCACCAACCACCACTGCCACCCACCTTACCACCACCCACCATTATTACACGCCACCATCACCCCCACCATCATCTTAGCATCATCGCCTTCCACCTTCCACCTTCCTTCCATAACGAAATTGGTATACTCATCACAATGTGATTGTGGTGGTGGTCGATTTCACCTGCAACAGAGAAGAAGAGAGGAATAGAGAAGAAGATTGGTTGTGGCGGGAAGCACGAGAGACAACAATTGTGGGTCCAGGTCAACACAATGAGAGGATCAAGGTGGTGCTCATATTCGTGGTTAGTAGCTAGCTAGACGACAACCATGTTCGTTGCCGATACTCTAGATGTTAAACGACGACCATGTTCGTTGTCGGTACTCTAGATGTTAAACATTTATAAGTAAAAAAATCATATATTAATATTAAGAAAAGATTATAATTTAAAATATAAATAAAAATAACAGCAGTGAGATTATTTAATCCCTATTTTCAGGAAGCATTTTTGTATTTGTTTAATTTATTTTGTTTTTTACTTGTTAAACATAATAATAATAATAATATATGATATCATTGTTTTTTATTTAGTTATGTATTCCACTACATAATAACCTATTAAAATGGACATGGTTTATAGGATCTTATTTTCAGGAAGCATTTTTGTATTTGTTTAATTTATTTTGTTTTTTACTTGTTAAACATAATAATAATAATAATAATAATAATAATAATAATAATAATAATAATATATGATATCATTGTTTTTTATTTAGTTATGTATTCCACTACATAATAACCTATTAAAATGGACATGGTTTATAGGATGCAATTCGAATTATATAAATAAGAATAAAGTCATGTATGTTTTCCATAAGATACAATTGATTATTTTAGTCAAATATGGAGAGTTAAAAGGAAATGTTGTTTGTTTCTTCTTAAGTAGTCAATATCTTAATTCATCTTTACATAGACAAATAAATATTAAAAAAGGGTTTAACATTTTTGCCACTTGGAATAACATTTTGTATATTATACATGCATCATATTGCTTGTTAATTTATTATTTAAATTCCAGATGGATCGCAATACTTGGATGTATTAAATACCACGTGCTAGCAAAAAATATTTGGTAAGTTTGCTTGATTTTCTTAAAGTAGCTGAGGATGATCGGAAGAATAAAGGAAAAAGTCACATCTGGTGTCCTTGTGAAAAGTGTCAAAATTGTCACAAGTTTAATGATTCTGCAATAATACAAGAACATCTAATATGTGAGGGGACTATGAGTGGGTACACACGATGGTCACGATATGGTGAACTGTTAATTGATCATGATACAACTGCTCCAAAGTGTAGTCATGATGAGGCTGGTGATCATTTGGATAATGAGAGTTGTGATGGTTTAGATGACATGTTGCATGATCTGGAGGATAATGTTGCGGAAAAAGATCATCAAAAATTCCAACAATTGTTTGAAGACTCTGAAAAACCATTGTATGTTGGATGTACAAAATTTACCAAACTTTTATTTTTTTTTTGGAAAGGGAACTTGCCTAACGAGGGTTTCCGGGCCAGCTTTCGCGCACTGACTAATCCCCCGCTGCAAACATAAAGCTTTGCTTCATGCCCTGGAGTCACTGCAGGCGAACCTCCATGGCCACAAGGGCTGAGTGGTGCTAGGATTTGAACATGGGTCAATAGGTTATCCACCATATCTTCCACATGCCTTACCAAGTCACCACAACCTAAGTGGTTAAATTTACCAAACTTTCAGCTGAGCTAAAGTTGCTTAACTTAAAAGCAAACAATGGTTTGAGTGATAAGAGTTTCACAAGCCTATTAGAGATATTGCATGAAATGCTTCCCGAAGAAAATGAGTTACCTATTTCATTATATCAAGCGAAGAAACTGGTGTGCCCAACAGGCTTGGAAATTGAAAGAATACATGCATGTCCAAACGATTGTATCCTTTATAGAAACGAGTATGCTGACCTACATGAATGTGTTACATGTGGAGCATCGCGGTATAAGCGAGAAAGCGAAACAGAAAAAAATAGTGATGTGACAAAGAATGCCCCCACTGCTAAATTATTATGGTATTTTCCTATCATACCAAGACTTAAACGATTATTTACGAATGCCAAAGAAGCCAAACTATTACGTTGGCATGCTGAAGATTGTACAATAGACGAAAATATGAGACATGTTGCTGATTCACCACAATGGAGGAATATTGATTCTAATTTTGAAGAATTTGGTAGGGAGATTAGAAATACTAGGTTTGGACTTAGTTCAGACAGAATTAATCCGTTCGGAAGCATGAGTAGTCACCATAGCACATGGCCGATACTTTTATGCATCTATAATCTTCCATCTTGGTTATGCATGAAACGAAAATATATCATGATGACTTTGCTAATTCAAGGTCCGAAGCAACCTGGGAATGATAATGATGTGTATTTGGCTCCATTAATTGATAATATGAAGGAATTATGGAACTCGGGCGTAGAAGTATATGATGCCTACATGAAGGAATTTTTCCAACTCCGAGCGATGATTTATTGCACCATAAGTGATTTTCCAGCATATGGAAACTTGTCAGGATATACTACAAAAGGAGGAAAGGCATGTCTTATTTGTGAAGATGACACATGCTTATTATGGTTAAAAAATTATAAGAAGAATGTATCCATGGGTCATAGAAGGTCCTTCCACTAAAACATGTGTATCGTACACAAAAACATTTGTTGGATGGTAAAATTGAAGACAGAGTGACAAGACCAGCAATGAAGGGAGAAAATGTATTATCACGAGTTAATGACTTGAACACTATGTTTGGAAAGTGTTGTAAGAAACCTCCAAAAAATATTTGGAAGAAGAGGTCTTTTTTTTGGGACTTGCCATATTGGAAGCACTTGAAAGTCTAACATTGTCTTGATCCGATGCATATTGGTAAAAACATTTTTAAAAGTTTGATAGGCTTGTTATTGAATATTCCTTGAAAAACGAAGGATGGTGCCAAAGTTCGAGAAGACTTGGTCGAAATGGGAATTCGGCCGGAACTTGCACCTGTTAAGAGTGATGGAAAGCGTACGTATCTACCACCAACTTGCTATACCATGTCTAAGGCCAAGAAGACCAAATTTTGTAAATGTTTGCACGAGGTGAAAGTCCCATCCGGCTATTCTTCTAACATTAAGAAGTTGGTGTCAATGAAAGATTGAAATTGCTTGGTATGAAGTCTCATGATTGTCATGTTCTGTTGACACATATGATTCCCATTGCAATTCGTGGAATAATGTCAGACGGTGTCCGACATGCAATCACAAAGCCCTGTTTATTTTTTAACATGATTCATTCGAAAGTGATTAACCCCAAGGTGTTAGATTCATGGCAATGTGATATTATCATCACTCTCTACCAACTCGAGATATATTTTCCACCTTCCTTTTTTGATATCATGGTTCATCTAATATCCCATCTTGTAAGAGAAATTAAGGCTTGTGGTCTGATTTTCTTACAACACATGTATCCATTCGAGAGATATATGGGTTTCTTAAAACGGTATGTAAGGAACCGACATCAAACAGAAGGCAGTATTGTTGAAGGATATGCCATAGAAGAGGTAATTGAGTTTTGTACAAGCTATTTAAAAGGTGTGAAAAGTATAGGGGTTCCACATTCTCAACACGAGGGAAGACTTGAAGGGGTTGGGACAGTTGGATTGAAAATGGTTGTTCCAGACAGAAATAGTTTCCACATTGCACATTTTACTATCTTACAACACATGATAGTGGCTGCTCCATACATAAATAATCACAAGTTACTGTTAAAATAAAAAAACAAAAAAAATAAGAGTGATCGATGGTTGACCGCTGAGCATAATAAAACTTTTTTCACAATGGTTGAAAGACAAGGTGAAACAAAGTTATGGGGGAGAAAACATGGATCCATTAGTAGTGAAGTTGGGGAACGACCCATAACATGTTGTTGCAACATACCAAGGCTATGTCCTTAATGGGTATACATTTTATACTAAGAAGCAAGATGATAAAAGTACGCATCAAAATGAGCGGGGTGACGCTAATAGCATCATCGACAGAATTTTATAGCACAAACCATGAAACAAGGTCGAGGATTGCTAAAAATTCTTATTATGGTGTCATCCAAGAAATTTGGGAATTGAATTATAATTCCTTCGCTATAGCAATGTTGAAGTGTAAATGGGTCAACAATCAACAAGGTGTTAAAATTAACAACGACGGTTTCACACTTGTTGATCTTTCCATAGATGGCTATACATCTGAACCATTCATTCTAGCAAAACAATCTACCCAGGTATTCTTCGTGGAGGACCCAAAAGATTCGACATGGCACATTGTCTTGCATGGTAAACGACGTATAGTTGGCATTAAAAATGTAGTGGAGGAGGAAGAATACAATCAGTTTAGCGAGCTACCCCCATTTTCTATTGGTATCCATCTACAAATATCGATATTGATGATACTGCTTATTTAAGATCAGATCACAATGAAGGATTATGGATTGCAAAAAAACGGAAACGGAAAGCAGGAAAGGTAATAAACATTGGAATATAGAAGATGATAGGCACAAAGACAGGTACTAAAAATTTGCAATCAGTCATGGAAGGCTTACAAGAGCAGGCTTATTAATGACTACCTAAAGAAGGGTATAAATCCGGTACCTGAATATCCATACCTAGATGAGCCTACATGGAACGCTTTTGTTCAACTCAAAACATCACCGAGCTTCCAGGTTTGGCTCACTTTAGCCCTCTTTATATGATAATAGTATATTGCAATGTTTCTAATTCTGCTACTTACTTCTCTTTAGGAAATAAGCAACAAAGCTACAACGACTGCAAAGTTGAATAAGTATCCGCCTCGGATAGACCCACGTGGTTATCGTGGTATGAAACCTCAATGGGAAAAAGAGATGGAGTCTGGTGAGGCAACGAAGTTCCATAATATAAGAAGTGAACGTGTAAGGAATTTTATCCTTGCTAGGTTAAAACGTGATCCCATAAGGATATATACTCGTTACCAACTGATCTCTACTCCTTGGCATCTGATTGGTAAGTTAAGTATTCATTTTGTAATGTTATCATTTATTTTAAAACTATTTAGGATTTAATTACCCTTGCAATTTTATTTGGACTAACAGATTGAAAAAGATACCCAATTATCTCATGGAGATTGGTTTCCTGGACCTGGAGCCGATGTGCTTACAGAGGTATTAGGACCCGAGCATCAAGGTCGTACGAGGGATGTTGGTCACAATGTTGGGTTGAGACAATCCATGCCTAGGGTTGATAAGAAAAAAGGAAGAGCCATGATAAATATAACTTGGAAGATATTAAGGAGAAGATAAAGATCAAGGTGGAGGCTATGATGGAGGCCAAAATGGAAGCCAAGATAGAAGAGATGAATGCTCAGATGGAAGAGATGAAAACATATATGCAACAGTTTCTCTCAAAGAATGAAGGCATACACATTACCAGTCCGGTGTTGAAGAAAAATAGTGTTGTCTCGACTGTATCAAATGAGTTGGATGGGATAAAGGTAATCATGTGTTTTTTTCTTATATACAAGATATTTGATCATATATTAACATATACATTATATGCTTGTAGACTCCTACTGCTTGCGAGTTAGTGATACCATACGATACGATGAACCAAAAATGTGCAAAAGGGATGGTCTTTCCATATGGGAATGGACAAATACATTCAGTTCCTTTAAATGCAAATCATTTGAAGGTATCCCTAGACAAGATCTATGACCAATATGATTGTATCCCTCTTCCCGTCTCGACCGAAGAAGCGAGTAAGTTGTGTGAGGCGCTTCATGGTATAGTTCAGTGGCCAAGGAATGCAATTAAGATCATTCAGTTACATAGAATTATCATTAACTTTGTTTAGAATTAGAGTAATAAATAGTTGTGCACACATCTAACTTGTGAACAGTCCTTACAGTTCAAGCCAAATGTTGAACAAGATAAAAGATGTTCCTCTCTACCGGTAGCTGTTAACCCGGTAATTTCTCCAACCTTATTAGTTATTATATGTATATGTTAAATTGTACCAATATGTGATAATCAAACAGTTTTTTAATGTTTGTACAAAAACAAAGCAACCTCGCATAACCAAGAGTGTGCCAATAACCTCGAAGGGTGTTATGAAGAAGACCAAGCCAACAAAGGAAAGTTTGATACCACATAATTCTAATAAACAAGTCGACCTAGAAAAAATGCCCCTTCTCATGAAAAGAATGTATAGACGTTTGATGAATCGTGATGCTCCTGATGATGCGATTTATGTTGAAGTCGAACCCAGGATCCTTGGAGCTCAGAAAATCGAAACATACATTTACCCCTAGGAGATTTTATGTCTATTGAATAAACAATGGCTTGATATTAGTGTCATAACATGGTTTCAAATGTAAGTACAAACAACAATGTTTAAATTATTTTCGTTTATAGTATTTACATTTATAATGTATATATATTTCCTGGTTTGTAGCATGTTACATTCAATGCTTGAAACATGTGGTGGGAATAAAGTGAACAGATGTGCTTTCTTTTCCCCGAGTGAGATTTAGGCAACAATATGCGAGTCAAATGGTGAGGGTGTTGTAAGTTACATTGTTGATGCAATGCGCTTCCACAAAGACAAACAGTTTTTTGTCGCACCCTATTGGCAAGGGTATTAAATCTTACTGCTTTGATTTTTATTGGCTTTATTTCTTTATTGTGTATACTAAAACGTATTAACATTACTAGATTGCATTGGATGCTGCTAGTAATCTACCCTAACCAAGGCACAGGGTATATCCTGGATTCCCAAAAAAATCCAGATGAGAAGCCCGTGGAGAACTACATAATCGTGAAATATGTCGAAGAGTAAGAAATATTTTTGTAATTCTGACTGTTATTTCTTTCTATGACTTTTTTAATTTTTTTTTTATCTTCATTTTAGGGCTGTTGCAAGGCTTAAGGAAGATATCGACACAACACATCCAATGAAATGGACACTTGTCGAGGTAAAAGTACTTCATGGGTACCTTGAACCTGCTTCTTGTTAATTTTTTTTATTAAAAATTGATACCTGGAACACAGAACTTGTTTCATCATCATATCAAAACCCTAGGTTCAAAGTAAAAGTTCTCTAATCCTTTATTGTTCATATTTGTAGTGCAACCAACAACCATCAAGTTAATAGTGCATTTTTTACGTCATGAGATGGATGTTCGAGTTCGTGTTGACTCGACAAAATGAATTCCCAAACAAAGTAAGTATCTTAAAATATTTGTGCAATTTGTCTAATATGTTAAATATTTATTATTAAATTATAAATTATTTTTTAATTTATATATAGAACAACTGGAACGATAAAAAACCGTTTCCGGATTAGGTGTTAAATGAAATCATCGTTATGTGGAGTTCAAGACTTAAGAGTAAGTATTTGAGTCAAGTGCCCCTTTGAAAGGTTAGTTATTCTTACCTAATTGTTTATTATAGCATTTTACTTTAATGTACTTGATTATTATAACAATCACTTGCATTTCATTTTATACAACATTGTAACTAAAAAAAAAAACTCATCAAGATATTGTACTTTGAAATATGAACCTACTGTAGCATCATACTTTCATATCTTTATCTTATTAGGACATTAAACTAAGAAAAATATATATTGTAAAAAATACATTGAATTTGGAGGATCTCTCTATTATGGGATATATGTCTCAATGTATAACAATAGGAAGAAATGGTAGTCGGATGTCTTAATAAACAAATAAATGAAACTATGTTGCTATTTCCTGCAATTAACTCATTTTTTCTTCTCATGACAACTATATGTTCCTTTTTTTTCCATTAGTTGCAACTTTTAGTTTCTTTTCTTGTCTTATGCCGCAGGTATGTGCCTGCGATTATAGAGTTTGACATCTACCGGATGGATCTATTTGTCTTTTTATATATATTTAATTTTTCGTTGATTAGGATGGACAAATTACGTTTATTGCAAATCATGTTTGAATTGGATATTGTTAATTTTAGAAATTAATGACTAATCATGCTTTTGTTTTGACATTTATATACATTATGTTTGTTCATGAAATGTTTGTGTGTATAAATTATTTATAGGTATGTTTTCTTTATAGAAAAGTGTAATTATTGTATTTACTTTATAAAATATATTTATTTAGAATGTCTTTTGGCAATAAGAAACTATACATTATGATATTTTATAAGGAGTACGTAAACATTGAAAAAACAGTATTCAATGTTTTTTGTTAAAGAATAAGACTACATTTAAAAAACCCTAAAACCATATTTTATAATGACTACAGAGTACTGGTTTGCAGCCGTACTGCATTATCTAAAATACCGTACTTTATGATGATTATAGAGTACGGTTTTGTAACAGTATTGTATTATCAAGAAAACTATACTATATGATGATTATAGAGTACGGTTATACAACCGTATTGTATTACATGTTCGAATAGGAAACCCCCCCTTATAGAGTAAGACTGCAAAACCGTATTCTATATGTCATTTTAACAGTATTCTATGTGTTATTTTGTAGTAGTTATATATTGATATTGTTTGTTTTAGGGTTTTCTAAAATATATAAATCTAGAAGTATCTGATATAACTTTTAGTTTGAATCCTATAAAACCTTACATCAAACAGAACAGAACAAACATGTTAATAAAACATGTTAATAAAGTCGTTGTTCAAAACTCATATAAATTTTGTCAGAACTAGATACCTGAAATTCCTGCTTTATTATAACTGGTTTTTAAGGTTTTTCGTTGTTCTAAAAGTATAATTCCAGGATTCATATAAATTTCAACGCCTAACTTTTCTTGTTATTGTCCTTTTAATAAAGTAATTGAGAGTGTGCGACTAATGAGTGAAATAAACCCCACATCCTACTTTCCGTAACAGTGAGTATGCTAAAGCGTTCTTTTTCTAATGACAAAAACGAAATTCATAATCATATAATTTGAATACAGTTGCAGATCAAGAAAATCAAAGAGTTTGAATGAAGTCGCATATAATGATCGATGATCATATTCAAAACATGGTTGAATACTTGAATGGGTCAGACAAATCAACATGGGAGCAACGACGTGAAAACAATAAGTAACATTACGAACATCGATCTAACCTCTGTGTTCTGTGTGCAGACGTGTGCATCGATGAAACTTGGAGAAGAGGTAATGGATAGCAACGATGAGTTCCGTATATTTATATCTGTTGTGGCTTGTGGGAAATTTGGTAAAAGTTCAAGAGTTGTAATCGTAATCTACTTCCTTTATCTCTAAATCTATCCAATTTAGATTGGATAATTAGGTTAAAGATTTTCTTTTTTCACTACTTACCAAAAAATATTCGAAGAAACTAGATTTTCGATTTTCTCTTCTTCCTAACTCCTTTCCTTCTTTCGTAAAATTGAAGTGAAAATTCTAAGGTGTGGAGATGGGATATTAGGTTGTGTTGCACCACGTCAAAAGATTTTTTTGCACAAGGTATTGGGTAATGAAGATACGGGCGGATTTGAAGGGAACTTAATTTCACAAAATCTATTTTTGTAAGGAAAGGAAATTGAATAATGTAACCATTTATAAATTTTTGATTTAACAAAAATAATCAAAACCGTTACAGAAAGTAAAACCGTACATGTTGGACTAACATTTTTAACTATGTATTATTATTACAGACTTTATAGACACATATTGATACATATTTAGGACACTTAAAAGTAGGTTTTTCTCCCCCAATATAATATTGTATTTCTATCTTTTTCCCATTCATTTACAACTAAATATTTGTAATTTGTTTTATAACTTCTTAGAATGAGTATATTAGATAATTTGGCAACTTCTCCATTTATTTGCACAACTTTAACAACTTTCGAAGAACGAATGTCCATACACCAACATAAGAACATATGATGTTAGGGATCATTTTTAACTATGTTTTGCAGTTCACATATATGTTGTAAGATAATTTGTTCCAAATTTTAACAATTTATTTAGATTTTCTAATGTTTTTACAATTAATTGTTTTATTTTGCCAAAAGAATTAGCTTCATATATTCATAAAATGCACGCTACATGTCATCTTATATAGGTGTGTGTCTATATATCACCATGTAAAACCAAGAGAACCATAGAATTATATAAAAATAACTATGTTAATTTTTGAAACATTATATATATATATATATATATATATATATATATATATATATATATATATATATATATATATATATATATATATATATATATCACTACAAGGAAAAAGGTCATTACCGGCGACAAAAATCGTCGGTAAAAGTCCCAAAAGTCGCCGGTAATACTAATAGTGGCGACACGTCGCCGGTACTGAATCGCCGCTACTGCCTCGTCGCTATTGATCAGTTTGTTGCCGCTAATGATAATAGTCGCCGCTATTAGTATGTCGCCGCTAATGACTATTGTCGCCACTAATAACGTTGTCGCCGGTAATGACAGATGTCGCCGGTAAAAGCGTCGCCAGCAAAAGTGTCACCGGTAGTTTTTTTTCAATTTTTTTTTAAATAATGATTTTCGTTGCCGGTGATAATATCACAGGTAAAAGTGTCGCCGGTAATAACAATATTCGATTAAATATTAAAACCAATAGTGTCGACGTTAATTACAAAACAAACATCCTATTAAATATCAAACATAATAGTGTCAATGCAAATTACAAACAAACATCCAAAATACAATTAAATATCAAAAGTCATAATATCTGAGTAGCAAAACAACAAAATTTTTACAATCTACCAAGTAGCAAAACGAGACAACATATGCAAATAAAACCCATTCTTACATACCCTCATCGCCGTTCGCATCGTTTCCTTGATTATTTTAGGATTGAAAAAACAAATAAAGTTCATCCCTACATGCCGGGTCGGCGAGCATTGCACGAAGATTTTCCAACTACATAATTAATAACAATATATATAAACTTATAAGTTCGACCGTCAAACGTAAACAAAAACTATTAAAATACATTGTTATTTTTAAAGTAAGATAGAAAACCAACGTACATTGCTATATTTTGCACTTGGGAGAAAAACGAAATTACCAAACTTTTTAGCAAATAACCATCACAAAACCAAAACTACCAAATCAACATGTATTTTACGATGCTAAAGTAGATTGCTATTTTACCTGTGATGGTTGTGATGGTTGCGAAGGCTGTGGAATCGTCGGGAGACCAGAAGGTTTGCGGCCAATGCCTCTAATGTAGCCACGTCGCTCTCCTAATACTTTCTCGAACGTAGCTCTTTCTTGAGCTGGCGTTAACTCCCAAAAGTGAGTAACAATTTAGTATAAATAAACATTTAAATATATGATCAAATTATAATTAAATACTTACACATTGTTGTTCCGATTCAGCAGTAACAAATACACCATTCTTATCGGTATGAGCTTTGCGAAATGTTTCCACTCTCTTAAGGTTCTGTTTAAGTTTAAAAATTAGATTATATTTTAAATAAATAATTACATGTATCGTACGGTACCTTCTTATAGCAAGTACTGCTATAAGAGCTCGAACCCCCACGATTCACAATTGTTTGCTTTTCACGGATTTTTTTGTTCCTTTCTGAAGCAATTTTGTGTTCGTCAGTTTGAAAATACTCAACTGTCTTCTCCCAGTTATCAACAAGCATACCATCCGGAGGATTTGCCAATGCTCTCGGGATATCTTCATACCCTCCGACCATCTTGAAATATTCTTTTGCGTTGGATTTACGCTGTCGAAAACTTTTTAACAAGGCTGCTTGAAAACTCTCTGTCAATAGAGTAGCTTGTGCATCCTGGTACATTTGATTGAGATCAAACTTTGTCTACAATAAAAAAAAAAAGTTAACCAAGTAAAAAACAATTATAGTTAAACCTATAAAATATATTTAAATAAATAATTACCGCTAAATGTTGTAATATAGTGTCCTTTATATCAGGGGAAACTCTTTTCCAACTCCATTTGTCGAAAGGGACCATCTGCCACACTGTTTTCCCAACTTCTCGGGAAA